TTCTGTTATCCATTGTCTAGCCGGGATCGAAGGGTTTGTGTCTCTGCTCCTACAGTTCCCTACCCCTCAAAAGAAATCTGACAGTAATCTTATTTCTTCTTTGCAGTTGGTCATTCAACAGTGTCAGAATTGGAGTCTGAGTAGCATCAAACCTAACAAGCTTCTGCTCGCTATCTCATCTCTAGCTCCTCATCTCGTTACTATTCATGGTCAAAGCCAACAAGATGCCGGTGAATTTTTATTGTGGCTTTTGGATGCTCTTCATGAAATGCACAAAAAAGCAACTAAAGTTGACATGACTGAAGAGAAACAGAGTCTGATTGCTCAACTAAAAAGTGAAAAAGATACTATACAATCCTTAGAGATGAGATCTGACGATATTGAAACTTATCGTGATAAACTGATAAAACTCTCATCAGTCGACTATTCTATTCTTGAGCAAGAGAATATGTCATCGATATACAAGATGTGTTGTGGCCAACTATTTGAAGCACGTGAATGCCAACAGTGTAAAAGAGTGTCCACCAATATTGAGTATTATACAATACTCACATTACCTGTCCCACAAAACACTAACAGTGACATCCGGCTCTGCTTTGAACTTTTTAGTCAGATAGAGAGCTTGAATCATTCACATAACATGTTTCGTTGCACTTGTACCATCAAAGAATCAGATTTTCCAACTTCTGCCAGTAGATTAGCATGCCTTAGTTATCTACCATCACATCTCATCATTCAACTTGCACGTTTTTCATATGACTACGCTCGCAAACAAGCACTGAAGAATCAAACACCAGTTGTCTTTCCTGTTACTGGTCTAGATTTGTCTTCTTTTACACTCAGCTCTAAACTAAAAACTCCTCTAGATGCTAGCCAGCCAACTTTGTATGATTTGTGTGGGTTTTGTGTTCACACTGGTGCACGTACCACTAGCTATGGCCACTATATTGCTTATAGCAAGGCTAAAGATGGAGCCTGGTATCGCTTTGATGACAACTATGTCTCACTAGTCAACGATATTGAAAAAGAAATCAAGCAACCTTTTGTTTCACAAAACACTTATTTAATATTTTACAAAGCTAAAAGACACTGAATATAAAAATAATAATAATAATGACAATAATAATAATGATAGCAATAATACTTAATTATTTTGATATTGACTAGCATGGTGAGAATTGGATGTATCAGGGATGTTTTTAGGGTCTATAGATGGTTCTGTTGCAAGTGCTGGAGTTTGATATTGGTAAACAGCTACACCAGATGACATAACACTGTCTCCTGGCCCTCTTAGTGCTACTCGGGAAAGCTCTGATGTCTCAGTATCAACACAAAGCATAGGATTTGATGACTCACGAGAACCTGGTTCACTAGTAGCCCTTAATGTAGTTTTAGAGCTAGGAACATCAAACCCCATACTTTCCCCAGGGAACACTTCTTGATTAGAAATCACTGGATCTTTGTATAGAGTTGAATTGTCAGGAATAGAGAGCCCTCTTTGGAAGCAACCATGACCAGTACAATTACAATCAGGTCGATGAGTAAGATCCTGAGACTTATAGGTTTCAAGTGACTCTATTAATAAAATAAATAATACATAATAGCTACTGTTACACAAATTCTTTTACTTGATACATCTTGTTTATTTTTTTGCTGGTCGATGGATACATCTTCACCAAGTGGCTCTGTCACTCGTTTTGTAGATGATGATGAATGATCTGTAGCGTCTAATGTATTAACAGGTTCAGGAAGTTGAAGAGATGGTTCATGGCCAAACAGACTGTCAGGAGGCTTCTTATCAAAAGTTCTTGCTACAAAAAAAGAACAAAGCATTTTTAACAATACAATGTAGTGTGTAATGATACAATATTCACAAACTAAATAAAGACTAAAAAAAACAAAAGTGCTTGCAAACTTAAATTTTTTTGCCTGTAACTGCATGTATTTAAGTATAGGTTATACAAGGAGTTAAGGCATCTTGGCTTTTATAATAATGAGGCTTGTTATAGGCCTGAGGTTGATAGATACCAACACAGAGTTGTATAACATATTGACATAAAGCACTAATGTTCAATTACATGTACAACTAATTAGGTGAAGCCCTTCTACACAAGATTTTCAGTCACGCCCCATCTGTTTGCCTGTATGCGTATGCGGGGGTGGTGCAGAAGAGTCTGGTGACAGTGCTACAGAATTTGTTGCAGAAAGGAATGCAATAATTAGTAGTTATTAAAGTTATTAAAACATTCTGTCACATGATAACTTTCTTTTTGAGGCTTTTCTTGACAAGTAAGCCTCCTTGAATGAGGAGAGCAGCAGTAGTAAAAGGCAAGAAGAAATTTATCAAAGTTCTAGTTAATTCATGGGCAATATATGCGGGAGTGAAAACAGAAAATCCGTATACTTTTCAACCAAGTTTAACACAAGAATTCTTCATATTCTTCTCTTACTTCCTCTACAGTTAGCTTCTGTTCCTTTGCTAGCATTTATCGTATCTACGGCAGGTTTGTCAGTCATACTTGTAGCCATTTTGAATAGGTCACATGACAAAGTTACTTCCACGTGAGTGCTGC